TAACACTCAACAAGTTCCTACTAACCACAAAGAAATAAAAATGGCGTAATTGCCTCTACTTACAGAGCGTTCCAATGGGCCGCACTGAACAAAGGCACACTGCAGGTATGCTGACCAAAGCTCGAAATGACCCCTACCTCGTGTGCTCCCCTTTTTAAAACCGTGCGCGGACATATCAGAGAGCCCCTACGTCACACCTAAACCGAGTCGGTCTAAGTTTTGCCTTCTGGCCAGTTTCCTGGGGTAAAATGCCTAACTCTGGGGACTAATCCAGAGTAATAATTAAAATCTTTATCCACATCCCTAACGACTTATATGTAATCTGTGCAGTTTTGTCTTAGCTATCTAAGATGCTATTTTATATTTTTATGACTTAAATAGTTTTTAAGATATTTTAACTAGAAGGGGGTGGGGACCACTATAAATGAAGGCGAAAACTCCTTTAATGACTAAATATTAAAATATCCTCCAACGATGGAAACTTGTAAATATGCTAAGGTATAGTGAATAAAATCCCCGTCTTAACTAGATGTAATGTATAACTTAATACGCTAGGGTTCCTGATAAATAAATTATTGAATTTCTAACCAATGCGCACATCGTGGTATTTTATTATTTCCTCCCTATGCGCCGGTCGTATAGTGACCGTCCGGGGGGAGGGGGGGGAAGGTGAAAAGGGATACCTGTTACGCACCGCGCCAGTGCTACTACACACCGCGCGGCCTTGAGTTGGGCGCCAGACATGGTTTACGTAACGGGTCAAATAGTGGGTTGGGGCATACACTGCCACATATAGAGCAGCGGTTCTCAACCTGTGGGTCGCGACCACTTTGGGGGCTGCGAGACCATTTCCCAGAGGTCGCCTAAGACCATCTGAAAACACATATCATTACAGCTATGAAGTAGCAACGAAAATAATTGTGTGGCAGGGGGTCGCCACGACACGATAAACTGTATTAAAGGGTCGCGGCACTAGAAAGGTTGAGAACCACTGCTATACAGCACCACCTGGTGCGAGAGCGATGCATTTTCTGATGCTATATCAAAGGTTTGGAAAACTTCAGAAATCATACAAATTCCACACAAAAAAATAATAAAAATAAAAAGGTAACCTACAAGAACGACTTACATCCAGTCGCACTTACTTCTATTGCAGTGAAATGTTTTGGAGAACTGATTCTCAAACAAATTTTAAATGAACTACAGCAAAACATGCATCTCCCCTCCCCCTCACCTAATCGCTTACAAAGCTACCATGCAGAAGCACGGAGGATGCTATCTTACCATTGTTGGAGGTAATTTACCATCACCTTACAGACAGCCCTAACAAATACGCTAGAGTGGTTTTCTTAGACTTCTCATCAGCATTTAACACTATCCAACCAGACCTTTTTGATTACAAAGCTTTCCTCGTTAGGTGTAAACTCAAATATTTAAGCTTGGATATTGAACTTTTTGACAAGCCCCCCCCCCCCCCCAGATGACAAGGTGAATGACCAGTATAACCAGTGAAATAAGCACCGGGGTGCCACAAGGTTTCGTTCTCTCACCTGCATATGTACCGTACCAATGATCTTCAGAGCTCAAGCGTTACCGTTCCAACCATTACATCTGCCGATGATACCACCATTTTTGACTTAATATCTGAAGGAAAAGGCTTAGCCTATACCGCAACTTAGTTTCAGGCTTTATCAATTGGTGCGATGAAAATTTTCTCCAGTTGAATGTCTCAAAAAGAAAGGAAAAATTTGTCGATTTCCCGGAAAGTGGGGGGTGGGGGGTGGGGTGGGGTGTGGTGTGGGGGGTGGGGGGCACCAAATTGCAGACCTCAACATGAAAAATCAACGTGTGGAGAAAGTAGAGACTTATAAGTAGGCCTACTTAGGTATCATGATTAATAACAAAAGCTAACATGGCATGAGCACGGCCAAATGCTGTATTAAAATTCAACCCAAAACGTTTCTATACTGAAAGAATTGTACAATTTCGGCGTAAACAAACACGTTATTCACTTATTCTACAGTGCAACAATTGGAAGCCTACTTAATCTCAGTATTATCTGCTGGTGTGGGAATTCAACGTCTGTTATTATTAAACACCGCATAAACCGACTAATCAAGAAAGCTAGAAACATAACACAAACTAAACATCCTTCACTTGAAGATCTATTTGAAGAAAGATGTTTTTGTAAAACTAAACACCTTATGGATGATACATCCCACGCTCTTCATCACAGATACTTTGGATCGGGGCGTTCGGGACGAATTCTTTCCATCAAGGCGAGGACTGATATCAAACACTGGTTAAACATACTAATCAACAAAACTAGAAACATCACACAAATTAAACATCCTTCACTTGAAGTAATAACTTTTTGAATAAAAATGTACCGTAAAACGAAACAAAATACTTAAGATCAGCCCGTTCGGGGCAAACTCTTTCTATTAAGGCGGGGACTAAAAAAAATTATAAAAATTCGTTTGTTCCCCAATCTGTATTTACCAGCGTGCCCCCCCCCCCCCCCCCCAAAATCTGAATGATCACCAATTGAGTCCCTTACGGGAGTCCACTGATTGATTTTTTTTACGCTACAGAAATAATTTAATTAAGATGTCTATTGTTTAATTTAAATTGTTTAGGTTGGATAATATTTACTTAGTAAATTATGTATTTATTTATGTGCTGAAAATGTATATGTACAATGCAATCAAAAAACATTTCCATGTATTTGAATAAATAAAAGAATATTATCTTATATTTGGTAACGAGTTCTGATATCATAGTTATTATTATATAATATTATATAATATATCATCATCACCTCAGATCTTGTCATGCAGTGATAGTAACGTCATCAAATCTTTAATGAATGACTTCTCATTGAAAAAGTGGACAATCAGGCACAGCTGAGAAAAATCTGCTTCATCGGTGCATGACGATGCATGGATTCATCGGCTAGGGCTAATGATTCAGTAGTCTTTTATCTGCAATTAATTTATCACAAAATAATCAACTAGTTTATCTATTCTACAACTTCCAGTGCCTTCAGTAGAAGGACTCACTTTCGGAAAACTTAGCGGGCCAGTTGAAATGGTTAGATTTGAGCCGCGGGCCAGACTTTGACTTTACAACATCCTAAGCAAAATAATATAATACATCTAATTTAATTTGGGAAAAGATTTGAATCGACGACGTGAGTGGAAAATAATTGTTATGTCACTGCAGAGAAGCAATATTCCGTCTAAAAAGAAAGAATAAATTAAATGTAAATAATCTACCTCTAATAAATATATTTTTTTAATGCCACTACAGCTCAAAGTTAATTATTTTTTGGGCAATTCTCTATTTTGAGTTGAATGGTAAAAAGTGAATCCTATTATATAAATAAGCCTTTATTAGTAGGCTTATCATGACTATTAAGGTTCGAAACTGGGACCTATGGTATCCAGAGGCGTAGCTAGGGTTGACAGAGAGTGACTGAGGTTGTTTGTTTGTTTTTTTTTTGTTTGTTTTTTTTGGGGGGAGGGGTGCCATACTAGTGGGGGTATCAAAATGGGCTTTGATGGTATTTTATTGACGACAATAATGAGTTTCAGAGTTGAGTTGGTGGATGGGGGTAAAAATGAATCGTGTCCCCGTGCAACAATAACTCTAGCCACACTTCTGTAAGTATCACCAGACAGTGGCGTACGTGGGCGGGGGGTCGCCCTCCCAGCAATCACTTGTGTTAATGTCTATTACCAACATTATAAAGAAGATGTATGGGGTGCAATTTAGGGAGTTCACTCCGGGCGAGGGCGGCAGTTTGTTAAGGTGCACACTTAGTATCACGCAACGACTGAAAGGCCACATCGTATGTGTTGGGTATTTTAGGAGCGAAAAACTCATTACACTTTCATATTTCTCATTCAGTGATTATTTTAAGCCTCTTTCATGGAGAATGGCAGTGCATCTGGAGCAAAACTCCCCCCTCCCTCACGGAGAAAAATGTGTACAATAATGTCAAACTATATGCCTATTTGAACAAAAATAATAATTTTTATTTCAAATCATTTTTAAAAGAGTAGTAAGTGTATGCAGGGGCATCACTGGGTTTGGTGTCACCCGGTGCGGTAAATTCGTGGCATCATCCCCCCTCCCCAAATCCGAACACCCACACCCGGACCTGAAACCAAGTAATTTTTAACCAGATTTTACAGAATCGCTTACAATACTGTTGGTAAATTAATTCCTAAATAAAATAAAAAAATCCAAAAGAATTTGTATTGTATGTTTTCATTATATTTATATACTTTTTTGAAACGTTTAAGTTGAAGATATCTGTTAGTATTTAAATTCTGTTTTTTTAAAAGGTTTAAGTCCAAAATACATCGACTAAGTCAATTTGGCAAAATAAACGAAAAAATAATTTACCACCCCTTCAAATTAAATAGACCTGCCTTCGGTGTCTTGTCAGCTGTACGGGAATATCCCCATAACTTAACCTATTTCTCTTGCCAGTTAATAAAATATTTTATTTTTTAATATAATCAATTAATGTCATTTATATTTAACAACTAAAAACAAAGTCAAATGATAAATCAAATCAAGTGAATTCGTTAAATACCTTGTATTTTAACATGGTACATTAATTAACATGAAACATATGGACTTCAAATATATTAATATATTATTTATATGAAATTACTATCTTATGGAGGAATTTAGAAAAGAGAAGATAAAATATTAACTATTTAAAAACAAAACAATAAGGACCACTCATTTTTGTATCGATGAAAATTTCATGTTTATTGATTAACAATGCCTTTTTATTAACTTTAGTTTCTTATCAAATATTTATAGTTTATTTTTAATGATGTAAAAGGCTACACGTTATTACTGCTCTTTAATTATTATTAGTAAATTATAAGCATTTCTTAAGTAAATCTGTATATAATGACATTGGCAGGAAAGTAAATCTGGTAGCTATGTCAATAACGGTGCGCCTGCGCGCACCACCTATGCGCACGAGCCTGCGAAACGTTAGAAAGATACGACAGACACCCGGAAAGGCGAGGTGCAACAGAAGAAATGGGATCAATAATTTCTATGAATTTATCTCATCATTTTATTTGAGAGCTGGACATAATTTATTTAATCTTCTTAAGGAGTTTGCTCAAGATTTTTCTGGAGTCAAACGCAACGATTGCACGGCATCCGAAGCTGCGACATTTTTAATTTGTGCGACACAATCTTAGAACATTTTTACAAGCGGACCATTCTAGTACTATTACTAGGACACTATTTCTGTGATAAGAAATAATAATGTTCAAAATTCCACTCTAGGCAAGAATCTACGACTACGTCAGTTGTGCAGTATGTAAATATTTCATGCTGATGATACTGTCCCTCGATGGAGTATCATTCCCGAAATGAAAACCTCTGCACCGGGTACTTTGTAAGTACGATACTGCGGTCTGAATTAGTAACTATTCAATTCACTATCACCAGGGCGTCCAGGAGCAGGAGCCATCCGTTTAATAGTTACTTAGGCACTGAGGGGAGAAAAAAAGTGGGGGGTGGAGATATTGAATTTTTGCATGGGTGGGAGGGGGGAAGCTTGTCAGAAAATAGTAATAGGTTTGACTAATTTTAAAATGTAAACAAATTCTGCATTATTATCCTGCTGACATTCTGAAGTCCATAATTATAAAAATACTAATATTTAACATATCTCGAGACCTAAGTCTAAGTGCTTAAGTTTCTAATAATAAATCTTTATGCCTTATTAATATTTAGATTTAGGCTATTAAATAATTTATATTTATTATCACCTAAAAATTACACAAGCAAGTAAGTTACTGGTTTGCACCAGGTCTGCTAAATTTCATATTATGTCCTATCAGATCACATTGTATTGAAAGTATAAGTAAGAATTAAATTAAATTACGAAAAATGTGTTGCGAAATGGCGTGTTTAAATTTGCCTTTTTTTTTTTTGCATATGTTTTATTGATGGATCTCTACCAGTACCTCAAGAGTAGACTAAGTTTAATAAAGATGACTATGTCACTTTATTGGCACCTGCAAGAATGAAAAATTTGATGGTCATGCCTTGGTGTCACCAAAATTTCCTAAATTAAGTCACTTAGATGATTAATGCTTATCACTAACCTCAATTTTAATAAAAGCAAGCACTGACGAAAGTCAATTTAAAATTTCCACCCTCGTAAATTAGTAAAAGAGGATACAAATATTCAGATTTATCCATGAAGAGTAAATTTCTTGTTAGTAAAACAATAAACTTTACCAGTTGTATGTATGGTTGATTAAGGGCTCTGATTAAGCATAATATATTGTATGCCCTGAGCAAACAATAATGCAGAAAATGGACCAGGTTGGTGCATGAAGGATATTTAGATGGCATTTTTGCCGCATAAGGCAAAGCCCCATGTTGATTATATTCCAAATTAAAGGCGAAGATTTTATTACTTAAAATTTAGAACATCCTCATTTTTTTAGTGCCATTTACTTGGTTAATCTTAATTTGTCTTAAATATTTTCCCCAAAATTACAACTACCCAAATTCAAAACCATTCATCTTCACTGAGAAATATTCTTGGCTGACAATATTTCATATAGTGCTTGTAGAAAAAATCATAAATTCATGTAAATTTAACCTTAGTATGGTAGTGCCTTTCATAGTGAACATAATCGGTTCTCGAATTGAATTAATTATTCAAGACACAATTTCACATTATAACCTTTAGAAAGAATTTAATTTCTACCAGAGTCAAGTCAATACTCCAATTTTGTTCTTAGATCGGCATAGATTGATCTGAATTCTATAAAAGTCTATACTATACAAATTTTGGAATTTTCTGATTTTTTTTATTAAAGAGAGCCTATTAACATTACCCGGGTACCGGTACACTAAAAATATTACAACATGAACACCATGGCCATAAAACGCTTTCATATGTAATTAGGGTTTTGGCTCTGTTTTAACATTCAGATTAATTTGACATTAACAATGGTTTATTTTTTTCTAGATGGCTCTTACCTGAAAAAGTTTTGATCCTCACACAGAGATTTATGTATCTTGATTCAATGAATAAAATGCCAGTTTATAAATGTGAGTTAAATTAGGCTCTTATTATTATTAGTAAATACATTTAGTTAATTTAATTAATTTTGTTTACTTGTTTTAGCTATATGCACAATATTTCAGGGCTGGTTGTAAATGCATAACTTTATTTTGGAATTCTAAAATGTGACTTTGAATAGTTATTGTGTGTCACAAGAATGATGGTATTGTGAGGATATGGCCCATACTTATGGTCACGTACCAAGTGGTATTGATATTGGTGCGACTAATACGGGGCCGCTCTTCTTTGTGATGGTTCTTTAGTCCAGGCGTTGAGAAGTACAACAAAGAAAACACAGAACACAAATAAAATGACCAGGCAACTCCTCCGTCTCAATTGTAATGAAAGATGTATTAATTCAGTATAGTAGAATCCAATAATGTCTATTTTCTAACTACAGCTGGGAACACTACATCATTCACTTCGGAATGACAGTCCACGAATCTCTAACGCTACTCCCCGCTGTGTCAAAAACTTCTCCCTTATATTTACCCCTTGTGTGACTATAACCTCTACTAGATAACCACCTCATGGTCATCGAACTGCTACATCATTAAAGAAAACATTCCCCGACCTGATCCATTACCTCAGGACGTCCATTCCATCTCCCTACCCACCTATTAGCAGCTATCATGTTGAGGCATTTCCCATTACTGATAATTAATCTAACTCTACCCCTGGTCTTCATGAACATTCCACTTCCACCTGCTAACTAAAATTTGCTAATCGAAAACATTGGTGATACCCGCTCCCACACTGTCTACCCGGAGTCTCCCTTTTCCTAAATTATCATGTCTCCCCTATACTACTATAAACTCTGCCGATGTCAGGCTAGCTATTCCCTCATCTATTGTACTGTTGTGGGACCATCGTGCCCCGTCTCCACCCTGGTCGTTAGTGACATTGTGGTACTCAAAACATTTATATGTGATATAGTATTGTTTAAAAAGTTTTTAATTTTCAAATAAATATTTTAAGTGGAAGGAATCAGTGCGCTGACTAAACAAAATTTCCTTAAAGAAGAATAAACATTTTGTTAAAAAACAATCAAATATCTTTCAAATATACATTATATTATTTATATATTACTATAAAAGGATATATTTTAGTTATACAAAAACCTGAACTATTTTATATGAAGTCATTTTTTTGTTCTGTTCTTTTGTTTCTTTTTGTAGCTGATTGGAGATGAGAATCATAACCTGATCTGTGAGATGTGTTCTTTTACTCAAATGCGCAAAAGGGAAAGAATTAAACACGAAGCAAGTAGCTTAGTGTAAATATACATTTTTTCCTAATCACAGTTGGAGAAATAAAATGGAGAGGTGACTTTTTAATTTAGTTGTTAAAGTTTGAATTCTTTAATCTGTATTTAAATGAAGGCAAAAGTGTGCCTACAAAATTATCACCAACTTGGATTTACTTTTTGATGATTTCGATCAGGAAGACCAAGAAATGGCGAATAATGTTGAATTTGACACAACATCTCAACTTGAAGAAACACACAAGTGGCAAGGGAGAAGAAGTAAGAGGCCACAAAATAACAAATGCTTTTGGACTCGGCTAAAAAATAAAAGAAAAAATAGAAAAGCTTCTGACGGAAATAAACATGATTTTTCAAGACAGTGCAATATTGATGGGGATGCAGGACATTTACAAATAATAACAAAAAAGGTAGCAAAAAGAAATTATACTTGTAGAAAGTCTACCATTTCTGTTGGAAATGAGTTTTGGGTCACATTACAAAATGCCTTAAATGAAAGTTCAAGTGATGATTCAAGCGCCTTTACTGATAGTGAGGATGACATGGCTGTGTTGAAAAAGGCTATACACATTTCAGATGTTGCTACATCATTGCCAAAAGATGTAAATGATGCTAGCTTCTTTACAAACATCCGAAACAAACAAGAAAGTTCTTCAACTTCTAATTATTCTATTTGCAAAAATTACTATGGCAGTTGTTTATCCTTGTGTCATTCTCAGAATATTTCTCAATCGTCTATGTTACCAAGCAGTAAATTAGAAAATCTAAATGACAACATTACACAGCCTGAGCTGAAGCTCAATAATAGTGAATTCAAAACTGACCAACCAGGATATGTGACTTTAAAGTCAACAAAGAAAACTGTATGCAAAGATTCTGACATGTCTATCAAATGCAGAAAAGAAAGTGCTACCGATATTCTCAAAGACCCTTGTGAATTTTGCTTTGCTCATAAAGATTTGTCTAGTACTAAAAGAAATGTAGATATGAACACACATAATGTAACAAATACATTATTAAACTCTATTCTCAGGTGTGAACACACACCAACTGCCATCCCTCAAAGTGTAGGAAATATAAATAAATCTCCTTGTGCAGCGAATGTTATAGAAATGCCACAATACATTGTAACTGTTGTGCCAACTCAGCCTGTGTCTTCTTCACAAATAGCTTATTCAAAGTGCAGGGAAAGCTCATTTATTTTATCTGCTTCGTCAGTGCCCACTGGTATGAAAATGAAGGACAAAGGTCTTAAAATGGATTACACAAATATAAAACGCTCATTTTCTTGTGGAATCTGTCAGAGAAGTTTTTTCAGTAAGGGAAATTTAAAAGGTCATATGAAGATCCATTCTTGTGTGAAGGAATTTAAATGTGGTCTTTGTGGAAAATCTTTTAGACGAAAACACACTCTTCAGAAGCACACTAGCATTCATAATACAAATACTGGAACATCTTAGTGGGATACAATTCTAACCATCATATGAAATTATGGACTAATGTAAATGCTAATTTTGATTCAAGAAAAAAAATTACGGAACATCAATAAATAATCATGCAATCTATATTATATAATTATTCAAGGTTGCCTCCAAGTTTAATATAATTTGTATAACTACATGCTTTAAATGAGTGCCTGTGTTTTCTATTGTTGAGACTAAAGATCAGCAATTCTGATTATTTTCCCCATTTTTTTAGTGGGCTCTCCATTTTATTTCAAGATTTAAAAAAAATAATAATGATGTATCTTCAGCAAAAAGTAATCTCTGCAAATTACTTTAATAATAGATTTTGGCTAGTTTAAATTTCTGAAAAAAATTTTAATAAAAAAAATTTCACTAAAGGTACCAGTAGATGCATTTTAATTACACACATACAAATTCACAGATTTGTTCATACTTAACATTGCGATTTCTTTACTTCTGAGATTTTGTTTTAGCATAATTGAGTTACATGTGTCACACTCATATATTTTGCAGGCTGCACTTCAAGCCTGAGCCTCAGAAGCAATTACGTTGAAGATATTAGAGAGGTTTTTCCTGCATTGGATGGAGTTTGTTCTTGAAAAAATTAATTTAATCCTTAAATTGTAATTTCTATTATGGATAAATGTATTTTGTGCATTATATGGCACTACGCAAACATTTTTTTAAATTTTTGAAAAGCCTGTTTTCAGGTTTGCATTTTAGACTTAATCCCCTGCAGACACAAAGCTGTTTACTTGTTTAAAGTTTTGAACTTGGGTTGTGTGGAAAAAAAAAAATCATCAAAATGTCAACACTCAAACCATTAGAGGTAGATAAAGTTGTTATCAAGACTGAACCAGTCGACAGTTTTGAGTGGGAAAGTCAACATGCAGTCTCGCAGGCAGACCATAACAGTTATACACAACAGCATGTTAAGCATAAAGAATCTGAAAAAGAAATATTTACCTTCAATGCCGCTGAAATAGCTGAAAAGCTTAAAAATATAAAAAGGAATTCATCTAGTCAAGATGAGTCCTATGAGGGACTGGACTTGGATGTTGGTAAAGAATCTTATAAAATAAAGGGAACTTTTGACTCCAGTGATACAACTTTAAGTTATACGCAGCAAAATGCAGTTAGAGAGTCAAGTCTTTCAGTACAAAGTGGCTTTTCTTCTTATGAACATGATGATGTATTCTCAAGTAACACCATGGACATAAGAAAAGTTGAGAACCTTAAAAGACAGTCATTGAGGAATGCTGAATCTAGTCATAGCAAGGTAAAGCAAAGCAAAAAGAATGACTTGAAAGAAAGGAACAAATCACAGTTTCATACATTTCTGCCCAAACGGTCAGGGGATGAGGATAATTCGAATATAACTAATTCTGTTGATTTAAAACCTACTGTAGAAGAATTAGAAGATTACTCAAGATCAGTATCAAAATCTAACTCGGCACATTCATTATCAGGAGATAACTCTTTAGGGAAGACTCTAGCAACCAGTCTGCAACTTATAGCTACTAATAATGCCACATCTCCTTTGATTCCTAGTCCTGCTGTTAGCACTCGTACCACTTACAGGCTGCATACAATGAGTAGCACTCCAAGCTCCCATTCTTCAGGTATGGTTACCCCTGTTGTAGTAGTTTCACCTGTTGTACCTCCTCGCAGGTATAGGACCAGATCAACTGCCAAGAAAGATAAAGATAAAAAAGAAAGAGTTACTAAAAACCGTGACTCTGAGAAAAAAGAAAAGTTAAAGGATTCTGACATGATAAAACCTATTCTTAACAAAGATGGAAGTGTCACGCTATACCAGTGTGAAGAATGTAACAAAGTGTTTAATAAAAAGCAGACTTTACGTCAACATTTCATCACACACACCAATAGATTTGCGTGCCCTTATTGTGAGGCGCGCTGTAAAAGTAAAGGTGACCTTCGCACTCATATTCAGACCCACACAAAGGAAAAGCCATTCCATTGCGATGTCTGTAATACAGACTACACCAGAGAGAGTATACTAAGGAAGCACATGAAGACCCAGACTCACATGAGAGCATGTTATGAGCGTGACAGTTTGGTGAGACTGCAGAAACAGTCTGGCAAGCCTGCTGGGGAAAAAGATTTAGACCAGTTTGTCCCTGCTCAGACCAAAGTGAGGCTAGAGGGCTTCTCCTGCAGTCACTGTCCGAAAATTCTGTTTTCTAAGGCAGAATACAGAAAACATGTCAAGTCACATGATTTCAAGTGGGTGTGCAATGTTTGCCAGAAAGGCTGTAAAACTGCTTTGCTTTTGAAACTACATAAAAAATCGCATACCAAAAGCAATCACTTGACTTGCAGAGTTTGCTCAAGAACCTTTGCCAACCTGTATAGTTTAAAAGAACATTTAAAGTCACATAAATCTTCACAGCAGAATAAGCCATCCGAGGAAATGTTAATCAAAGCTGCTATACACAAACACAATAAAGATATTGTTAAGCTGAAGATGCACAGCACAGTTAGTAGTGCTCCAGTTGTGCAACAAAAGGTGACCGTGTTTGAATGTGAAGTCTGCAAGAAAACATTTTCAAGTGAGAAGCGCTTAGACAACCACAGTCGTTTGCATGATGGCACATACATTTGTGGGATTTGTAAGAAAGCATTTGGAACAGTAACAAAGCTGAAAATACATTTGCGATTTCATGGGCGAATGTTTCAATGTGATACTTGTGATAAAAGTTATTTTGATGAAAAGGAGTTGCATGAGCATATTCAAAACCAACATGTGATGGAAAAAAATTACCCGTGTAAGATCTGCAATGATAGATTTTTAACTGCATCTGATTTAAAACAACATGTAAATCACCATGCACCAACCATGCTCTTCAGTGGGGCCTCCCTTGAAGAGAGCACCATACCAGTTGTGAATCGAGCTTTTAAAAAATCTGCAGGTTTCAATGCCTCAAAATTTTCTGATACAGAAGAATCAAGTGAAGATGACGATCCAAGCACTAAGACCCAACAAGATTGTCAGAAGCTGTGTGAATCAGATGATGACAGCATTTTAAGTAGCAGTGAATTCTTTGAAATTATCAACAGTGCACTTGATGGCAGTGATGACAATCTAAATGAAACCGAACTGTCTGACTCTGATGATGAGCTGTTTAGTGGTATCAAATCTGTTCTAGAATCTGAAGTGCTCAGTTCTGCAGAATCAGAAAACGGAGATGTCAAAGATTCTTATTCACTTCAAAAGCCCATTTTGTTCAGCCACAATGATATTATGAAAAAACACCATTTGGAATTTGAACGGAATTCCGAGGTAGATTCTGAAAGAAATCAGTTTAAATGCAAACTATGTGACTTGCGTTTTGAGGAGCATAAATTTCTAAAAAACCACTTGAAGTGCCACGTTTGTGAATATTGTAATAAATTTTTTTCCGACAAAGAAAAACTAGCGGCTCATAAAGCCCGTCACGTCAAGCAGCTCTTAAAAGAAATTAAATGTGAAGCATTCCGCTTGCAAATACCGAGGTACAAATGGAAAGGTTACCTTATGGCATCTTCTGAGTCTGAAGATGACTTGGAGGATCAATTTCTAAATGAATTAGAAGACATTTTGGAAGGTGAGCCTCCTAAAGTACCACGTGCTGTTAATTTTCTCCATACATTGTCTCATGATGAAATAGTCAGAGCAAATAAACAAATTTTTGATCACTATTCCTGTTTAGATGTAACTAATAATATATTTGCATGTACAATCTGCAAGCGCAAGTATGCTAGGCCAACTACCCTGACTAGGCATTTCAAAACGCATGTTTGTCAATTTTGTAATAAGTTCTTTGAGGACAAATCTGATTTACTTGAACATAAATACAGACATCGAAAGAAGGCTGCATTGATGAAGGCTGAAATCACAGGAGAGGGCAGCAAGATGCCACCCTCCCCTATTGTTTCTAAACAAAATCGTGATATGTTCAAGAGATACTCATATGTGGATACTGAGAGAAATATCAACAGATGCACCCTCTGCTGCAAAGACTTTGTTCGCAGAACAGTCCTAACACGTCACATGAAAACACATATTTGTAGTCACTGTGACAAATTTTTTGAAGACAAATATGATCTTGCCAAACACGCTACTTTTCACAAAGTTGAAAAGCAGTACATGGAGGATGATGGTGCTGAGAATGAGGAATATACGGAGTTTGATGAAGATGAAAAGCAGTATTCCACCAATTCATCCATTGCAGGAAATTTGGACAATGATGATAAAAGCATAACCCTTCCTCCCTCATTCTCATCTTCAATGGGTCACTTTAATGCTTCATTTCATTCTCAGCCCTCATGTAGTGGCAGGAATGATACAATTACATTTATTCAAATTCCAAGCTCAGAGAGTAGTGAAGCAACTGGAGGCCAAGTATTTTCAGCTACAGGAAATGGGACATCATCATACCAATTGATCTCTCAGCCAGTTGAAGTGTACAAAGACAGTACACAAGAATCTTTTCTAGTGGCATCCACAAGTTGTCAGGGGCAAGAAGCTGATAAAATAATCACAATATCTCAACCTCAAATTGTCCCATCCAGCTCAGAGAACAGAGAAAGGCTGTTTGAATGTGGAGAGTGTGGAAAAAGGTTTTTCAAGAATGGTCACTTGAAGTCCCATATGACTATCCATACAGGTGACAGGCCCTATGTGTGCCGCCTGTGTGGGAAGGCATTTGGAAGAGGAACCACATTACGAAAACATGAGAAAACTCACATGAAGAGGTGTAAGATCTGTGATACCACCTTTACGCACAAGTATGAGCTTGATTTGCACATGGAAATTCACAGGACATACGCATTTTACAAGTGATTATAATTATAATGAAAAAGTTGTTTAAGAGATATTAAATTATCTGGGTTTGTAAATTTAAAATACTTTATTCATATATATGTATATATATATAAAATTTGTTAAAAGGAATGAATGTCTGTGATAAGTTTTATACATTTCCTGAAGTTTGTTTGTGCAAGCCACACATTAAATTTTGGAAGGGAGAAAAAAAAACCCGAAGAAATAGCAAGATTGACATACAGGTATTACATTTAAATTTAATTTCAACTGTGTTTTTTAAGAGAGTTATAATAATTCACATTAATTGTTTTTAATTTATTAAATTAATTAGATTTACTTTTCCTATTGTGCTTAGTTATTTAATGGCATTCTCATCTACAAGTACTAATACTATGGATTGCTAGTTTTTATAACTATGTGAGTTAAAACAAGGTACTGATAATGTAGACATTGAATTAGTTTTCAAATAAGTTTGGAAGCTCAAATTATGTTAAACATGAATTTCAATTTACACATTTGATATGACCAATACAGTTTTATTATAAATTTTCTCTGTACCATTTTAATAAAAATAAATTAAACAAATGGGTTCAAGATAGCCTCAAATGGTCTGTCCAATAACATGATTTCTTGTGTTTAAACTGGAAGTTAGTCTAATTCTAATTAAGTATGTATGTTCTCATTTTTTTATTGCCAGTAATTTGTTAGAGATGTCAATATTATTGTTAGAATTACATCTTTAATATGATAATGTCTCTGACTTTTGAACAAATATTTAGTTGGATATTTTCATTAAAATTATATTATTATAAAAAGAAAAATGTTCAAATGATGTTTAAATTTTGTAAAGATTGAAATTTAAGTCATTGGGGTTGTTTCCAAAGCTTATGTATGAACTGTTGATTTTTTTCCCTCCTAACTTGGGTGTGCTAAGTATCACAAAATAATGCATTTAACTTGACCCAGTAATGTTAAAGTTTCTGAATTATGTAATGATTCATTCTTTTTTAATGTTGGTTAATTTCAAGAATGGCCCTGCATATATTCTTGTTGTCTGTTTTTTCCCTCAATAAAGTTTTATTTTTAATGGAGTCCAGGCTTATTAATAGAGAAATTTTATTAAAACTAAGATGTTGTAATTGTAATTAATTGATCAAAATGAGTCTGAAGTTTCTATTTGATATGAAGGTTATTTGAGTAGTAATTTAGCTCAGTGAAGCATAATCTTTAGATGAGTAATATGGACTGCACTTTTTTGTGTGCAAATGAAATGTTTTTCAAATTGCAAATGTAAGATAATAAGTAAGCAATTTAAAAAAAATGTAACTTATTGCTTTTGAAATCTTTTTAACTGCATGGAATTGGAATTTTCTTTATTATATAAAATAGAAATCTCTTAATTATTCTAGTTATATTATTAATTTGGATTGAAAAAATCTAAATTCATGTTTGTATTTTGAGTTAAAGAGGACGAAATGGTTCACTGTTAGTACCATTTTGATTTTGAGTTCTTATTGTTCAGCATGGTTAATAAATTACAAACTTTTGGAAATGTGTCTCATGTTTTTATATTGTTTTTATTTTCCCTTGTCATCTGTGTTCTGTCCAGAAATCATATCTCAAATCTATGGTAAATGAAATCTGTGATATAAATTATTGATGATAAAACTTATCTTTCCACTATGGTACATCACACACAGACATCCCCACTTTCAATGACACAACAGCCCTCATTTCCCTGATCATTTGGATTAATTTATTTGGGCTTTCACTCAAGGGATACAAAATGACAAGACAAACAGCAGCGAACAGAGAATATTTTAAAATTAATCAGTAAACTCTAGAGAAATATACGCTCTCCTCTTCTTCGCATACAACACATTTTTAAAGGTAAAAAACAATATTTTGTTTGTTTAGAAGTTTTTTTTACGTGTATTGAGTATACCGTAAATCATATGGGCAATATACTAATAATTAGTAATAAGGTTACTTTGCTGTCGTTAAGTTACATACCAATAATACCGCTATGCCCTATAGTGTAATTTTAATTAGGCTATTGTTCTTGTGGTGGATACCATCCCATAATAATAAATTAAATGTCCTCGGTAGGACAAGGTTAATATTTTCTTTGACATAAATAAAATTTAATTGGTAAAAAGAGAAAAAAAAGCGGATTAAAATTTAACGAAAAATAGTAGATTGCCGTTTGATCGGTGCAATCTCAGTCCTCAAAAAAAAAATATTAAGAAGATCATTGAATTTGAAGATGCGCCAGTGGAAGAGTAGTCATCATGTTAGTTAGCGTGTCATCGTCAAAAAATAAAAAAAAGAGCTAAACGCTAGCACTAGCACACAATTCCATCTTCTACTTATTAAAAAAAAATTACATAAATAATGTATTATGTATTAATATTGATATTAGCATTAATCTTAAATGTGAATTTCAGTAGTCTGTCATCATTCATAATCACTTGAATCTTTTTTATTGAGAATTGAAATATAAAATGTTGTAATCGATACAATATCGAAAACAATAAAAACAAGTGATTCTGACGGCAGTAAATGCTGTGAAAGAAAGTAATCGATTAAAAAAATCCATTCAAATTACACTAAATTACACGTGTGTTTGTTTTCTGTTTGCAACTACAAATCAACGATACATGTTGCTATTAAGAAAACCTATCTGTAGCCCGGCATATCCTTCCTAATAATATATTAATTTTCATTAACTTATGGATATTCTAAACAAATTAACATGTAACTCATCACAGATTAAGACTACGCTGAAATTTTTTAGATTTAGCACTCAATTCAACTCTCACTCTCGTAACATTAACAGTAACCGAATAAATGGCCTTAAATTAGTACTAGTAAAAAGTCTTCATTCTATTATTGGTTGCTCAAGAAGAGACATGGCATCAGTTCATAAAAAAGGTTGTAAATTAAGGCTATTTCACATAGTAGGAGATGATGTAGGCCTAGGAGATCACAAAATCTCAAGAAGTGAAAAGACGGAAAAGGTAGAAGGTAAGGACAAGAAGGTAATCCAAAAAAGAAGAAAGGTAAGTCACAGCCAAAACAGAAGTTTGAAGTTCGGTAGTGCAACTCCGGTCCAAGTAATTATTTTTAAATTCATTAATTACTACTCTAGTTGTAGGATAGGGCCTATATGCCTATAGCCTACTGTTTATAGGGGCGGGCGTAGGTTTTTTGGGCCCTGAGCAAATCTTTGGCTTACTTAGGCCCCCACAAATTTATCCGTAAATCACTCTGGGTCCAGCCCGCAACAGTGTCCCTAAGGGCTGAATCAAAACATTAATACTTACGATACAATTATTTTAAAATTGGTGGGGACCAAAAATTTGGAGTTGCAATATAAAACTATTGTGGGCTACCCTATTGTCATTGTGTCCAAAGACTAACACTCACCATACTTATTACTTTTGTCTTAGTGGCTAATTTAATTACGGGTTCCAGGTCATTTATGGCATGTTAGTGTTTATGATTTACAAAATGTAGTTAAAGTAAGGCAGTAAAGGCAAGGTTATTGCTAGTTTCACATGTATAAGCATAAGTGATCTATCCCTTTTTTTAATAAAAGCTCGGGCCCATGTGAAAAAAGGGGTGGGGGGAGCAAAGTGGACAACCCGGGTACCAATGTCAAGGGGTGCCAAAATCTAAAAAAATCTTGATGAATGAAAATTTAATTTGATAATAAATTTTTAAATCTTGTAAAAATATAGTAAAGGAAAAGCATATTACGACATGCAGATGGGGCATTATTTACTGCTGATAAAAAAAAACTTAGGCTGAGTGCAAAATTGAGCTTAGTAATAGTAAAAGTAACTTTAATGCATCTCTCAGAATCTGCAAGAACACCAGTTGCTGACCTGTAAAACCCTCTTGCCTCTCCCAGTCTCCGTTTTAAATTTTAAAAAAAATATTATGAAACACCATTTATAAACATTTATTAGATATTTCGATAGATTAAGTTGTATTCTGGTGACAATGGCTCATCAGATTAAGTTGTAATCTAATGACAATGGCTTGTCAGCTAAAGGGCAGAAACACTCAAACAGAAAGTGTCTATTGCATAGCGCATTGCCTCAATAACAAAGTGAGCCCTTCAAAAGACGCAGTTATTTCTAAGGCTCAACTTGACCTACCCAGTCAATTTTTAAAGGAAATAAGCCTAAATTAATTCAATTTATCAATTAGTGGTGTAGTTGCTCAATAAGAAGTACTAGGGTGCTTTACAGACACCATAAGCTGCGCAATATTAAATATATGGTTCATTGTGTCTAATTAATTTTCTTGAAACTGCAGGTTTAGCTGGTGTTCTTTTGAAAAGTGCTGCTTGCTTGCTTAAAGGAGGAGTTATTGCTGTTCCCACAGATACAATTTACGGAGTGGCCTGCATGGCACAGAGTTCAGAGGCCATTAAAAGAATTTATGAAATCAAGAATAGAAACTTCCAAAATCCAATAGCTATTAGTGTCTCAACTATTGATGATATTTATAAGTAGGTCTTTTATTCATTGTGAAGCTGAGTGTTGCACTAAAATCTTGTTTCAAAATAGCTGTTTTTGTCATTACAATTACACTTAAGCATCAAGACCTTATTTGGTGCACTTTCCTTGTCAGCACCATATCAGTTGTTTTTTTATTTGGTACTGGTACAAACATAAAGGGCATTTTAATAAAATTATTTTATTTTTAAGTTCAATTTTTAATGGACTTGAATTATATTTTCATCACAATTTTATATATGATCATAATAGGTAGTGTTTTCTGTAGTCTTATATCAAAAAAAGCAAGCTGAAATGTTCATTCATATTCATCTATATATCATTCATATTCATCTATATTATATTTTCTATAAGTAAAGATGAAAAAGTTATTTTAATTTACAAACATATACATTTAAGTTTTCAAAACTGAGTTACAAACATCACTTAGGTATGACTCGGAAGTAGAACCTTATACCAGTATTTAAAATAAGATCTAAAATAACTTGCAGTCTAAATTTTTAAAATAACTTTTAAATTTCTATGTTGTGACATTTAATTTTTGCACTTGATTGGCAACTTGAGGAAATTTATTAAAAGTGCAGTTAACATTAAGAAAACAATAAAATAAATGCAACTTGTTTATTAAATGCTGGTCTCCAGTATATATATTTTTTTATGATTTTTGGCAGATGGTGTAAAGTAACTGTGGAAAGAATGCTACTTACTGAACTTCTACCTGGAGCAGTAACAGTTGTTTTTCAAAGGAGTCTAGACTTAAATCCTTTACTCAATCCTCACACTTCTTTAGTTGGGGTTCGCATACCAAATCATAGTTTCATGCAAGCATTAGCAAAAGAATGTGATGGTCCTATAGCTCTGACCAGTGCCAATATCAGTGGAGCAAAAAGTTGTTTAAGAATAGAGGTTAGTTTTTATTAGACAGTCTCTTCAAAATTATTTTAAAACTCTTATTGTACTGGTAAATTATTAATATTTTTTTATGAACATTTTTTCTAATTAATGAATCCATAAGACTACAGTATGAAAACATTAAATTTTTTCAACATACCTTTTAATTTAACTAAATCTAAATGATTGAGTGTGCATAGATGATTGATTAAATATGCACATTTTTACCTTCACCTTTAACATTTGCTTAACTTTAAAACTTAAATAAATTTGATAAATGTACACCAGGCTGTGCTATTTTCTAAAATTAATAATTGAATCTTCTAGGAGTTTGAACATCTTTGGCCAAAGATTGATCTTGTAGTAGATGGGGGGACACTGAGTGATTCTGAAGAATCTCGTTTAGGCTCAACGGTGGTGGATCTGTCTGTACCAGAGACATTTAGAATTATTAGACCAGGAAGGTAAGTAATTTTTTAAAATTTCGTAGGTTGTTATATTTTACTAAGGGAGATGGTATTTCCTATTTTTAAACAAATTAAAGATCATTTCTGCCCTAAATACATTACTGATAGCTTCACCCCAAAAAATGTATTCATAATTTATGTCAGAGATATCCATAAAGCGGCTCTCTGACAATTAGTAAGCTCATTTACTATTTAAAAGAGTTTGTTCTAATATAAGATATTCTAATGAAATTGATTATTGCGCATAACGAGTTTTAACATTTGAAAATATGTATTAACTTTAAGGGAACAAATAAACTGAAATTCCAAATCCATTTAGTTCCCTTCATATGCAAGTTTTAGCATTAGGCAATAAATAACCAGACTAAAAAGTACAGTTCTTGATTTGAGAGTAAACTGGCCAGTGTTTGGAAATGAAATTTTTGCATATGTTGGCTATGTCATTTTGTTATTCTTTGTCATTTACACATTAGCATGGAAGACACATTCTTCTAAAAGCTTATGCTTCTTCTGTTTGAAAAAGAAATACAGATGTATTATTCCAATGCTTTAAAAAACATTTTTTGTTTAACTAAACTACAGAGCTGTAAGTCCCATTCTCAGAATTTCGATAATGAAATCAATTCTGAATGCTGAAAAACATGCCAGTCTCTGTATACAAATTTGTCTGTAAAAAATAGATCTTTATACTCTGTTATAGTTAAAAGCCATGGGAGGGAGGGAGGGGTTAAACTCAATCAAATGTTGCTTTGAGAGCTGCATATACTTAGTTATTAGAAAAGCAAACTTTTATATTTTTTGTTTGACTATGTCACGATTGGATGTGTTGGTTGCTAATTTAAAATAATAAATATTTTTACAGGGCTTAGTTTTTAAGTGTCAGCTTCAGTAACAATTATTTATTTATTTATTTTGTCGCAGTGCACTTCAAGCAACACTACAGATTTTAGAAAAATATGGATTAAAAGAAGTGAAGCTGGAAGATAACATTTCCTGTGCCAGATAATATAAATCTTTTTTTTTTTTTAAACAGAAAATGTATATTATAATATTTCTATAATTTTATGCTCTTTATGAGTATGAGATGGGGGTTAAGATGACAATGACTTTAATCACACATTTTGTGTTAGAATATCTTTGAACGTTTGAGTTAAACAGCATGAGTTGGAAAAGCATTTCAGTTTGTAAACATTTCTCAACCATTAAGAATTCTCAGGTCAGGCTACTCTTAAAATGATCACTCAAATTAAATGGTAACCTCTGTCATGTTGCACTATAGCTTTTGTTTAATGATCTCTGCCATTTTAGCATCTTAAGTTTCCATTCATTTTGGTATCCACTGATTACAATCGAACTCGGTTAACTCTACAACCCTGTTATGTCGACGCTTTTGAAGTGGAACCGCCAAATTCTCTCTTTGTCTTAGCATTTTCTCCTCGGTTAAGTCGATTCTTTTATGTCTCTGAACCCTGATATCTTGAGCACAAAAGGCGGCTAAATTTGCTACAGACTAATTTGAAGGAACAACAAAAAGCTCAAGGATTATTAAGGCTGAAAATCAACAAAAATATTATATCTTTTAATTCTTTAATTTCTCCTCCTTATGATCATGCATAGAAACTTACACTTTGTGGACCATTGTCATATTAATTTCTCCTGGTCTATTCTTGTCAGTAAACCTTTTTAAATAAACTAACAGCAGAGAAAATATGTTTCACTTCACCGTTTTTTGTGGTAAGAGTAAGACCACTGATTGTGCACATTTTGGAAATCTCTTAAAACTGTGCTCTTTGTGCCATGTTGAATTTGATGCCAAAAAATCATAACTTCCATAGGCTCAAACATTAATTAGAGCAGCAACTTGGTGATCAACAGTCCATGCTGGAATTACAATTTGTGGGAAAAGCCCAACCAGTTTTGGTTCATATACTTTTGCAGCTGTACCTGCAGTTGAGTTTGATAACCATTAAACCCATGAATATATTATCATTTGTTTCAAAGTTTGCACCTTTAAAGTGATCAGAACTTTTAAGCTCTTCGGTTGATAAAATTTCCTGTGGACCTATGTAATATCCCATCTCAGTTTTCAAATTGGAAAATTTGATTGAGACATTAGTTGAATTGAGTAAACTCCATGAAAAACAAGAAACAGGATTTTACGTCAGGATTTTATAGTGGAGTGAGTGGAGTGCTAATGCTATTCACTGCAGTGCATCCAGTCATATCCATAACTTGATTAAAAGTGCATTGTGTCTGCTTCCACAAACTCCTTCTCATTTTTATGGACAGACTTGTATTTGTACAGACTTTTTACAGACAGCTATTTAGTCACTGACCAGTAAGTTTACAGAGAGTTGGCAACTCTATCATGGGTGGTATTAATGCAAGTTGCCTTGAGGATTTCTGTTTACATATACCAATACATATATTGTTTTTGTCTCTGCATTAGTTTTTTGTAGCCACTGATTGTCAGATTTTATTATTGGAGTCTTTAAAAACTTTGTTGACATTGTTAGTCTTTAGTCTTACAAAAAAATACTTACACTTACATTATGCTTACTTATAGTATAAGTTATACATTAAAGTATAAGTTATACATTAAACCTCTTCAATTTTTTTGTTAGTCAAATAAACACAATTTTAAATTTCCTCGGCACATATAATTTTTTATCTATGTAATATTGAAGTAACCAAATGACTAAAGCATGTCTTTTCCCTACATGTGAAGCAGTATCTTAACATCTTTTACTACTCTCTCACCTTGTATCCTCAATCACCACAACCTCTGATGTAGTCACTAAGACTAAGTAATTTTGTGTAAGTTTGAAAATGTTTTTCATTACCGGTATATTGATTCAATAAACAAAATGACAAAGGAAAGCTAGTTTTGCAATTTTATTTCTATTTTCAGATGAATTAATATACAGAGTACCGGTATTAGAAATTTTATATATTATATGTAAGCTGTCAGTTTGTGTATTGTTAGAAGCACTTTCAGTGTATATCGTTAATAGCTTTAATGTTTTCAGCAGTATGAATAAATGATATAAAACTTACTTTATTTGTTACATTTCATTTACATTATTATTGAGTTCATAATTTTGCAACTTCTTTGAATATTAAGGGAGGCATGTGATATAAGAAGCTTGACTCATAATAAATCCACATCAACCCTATGTGCTGACCAAGCTGTTTTACATTTAAACAAGTTTGAAAAGTTTTAGAATTCAATTCCTCTTAAGTTGCTACCATTTGCTTGTCTCAGCCTGTCTCTAAAATTGCTATTTAAAAAGTTTTGATGGATGTTATAGGGCCTGTGTTGCCTTGCCCTTCTCCTCTGGTTAGAGACTGTTCGAATGGGATTCCCTCCTTCTCTGTTATCTCCTGGATTATCCTGAAATAGGATATTCAGAGTCTTAATTCTTTCGTACAAAAGAACATAGCAATCAATCATCAAACTTGATGGACTTTTGATCTTGCTTCTGATCAAGACTAGACTAATTAAACTTGCTGCAGTCAACTTCTAATGATTTTTTTTTTAAATTTCCCCCACTAATGCAGTAGCACCTGGTAGTAATAAAATCAATTTTAGTTAGGATTTTTAATCCATAGTTTTGTTTATTGAAATGTAATAATGTATTTTTTATCTATCACTATTTGATTTCAAGATTTTAAATTTTTTTTAAAGATCTCATTCATTAGACTATCATTAAGTATCATGTACAGTATACAAAAATATTCATTGATACCAATCAGGCTTTTCTGCTTCAATAGGGAGAAATGTTTCAGTGAATATTAACTTTTTTAGCTGAAAAAAAGTAACTTTACTAGAATCCTGCCATGTGGTGTCCATACTTGTACCAAGCCAATCACATTTAATTGTATGGAATGCAGCCCAACTCTTGTTGCAAGGCCAACAAAAGATGGTACTGTGTAAGAATCGCCCCCTCCCCTATAACCAAAACCAAGAGATTAAAATAATTTAGACATCAATTTAAATTGAATCCTCCTGAAACAGTTGGGCTACTGGTACCTAATAATATGATGCCATCTATAATTTACTTGTTTTGCTTTAATCAAATGTCCCACAAAAAACTGAAAAAAAAACAGATTTGATTTAATTTGATATATTTAATAAAATCAAATTGCTAAACGAAAAATATAAACTTATGGTGAGGAACTCTAAAACAAGAGCACAAGTTTTAGACATAAAATGTTTAGAGGACTTCAGCCCAAAAGCTCTCAATGAGAGCTGTGTTCTTATTCCCCAAATTTTGGCACCTGAAGAAAATTCGCTTGTGCCTTTTCAAACTAAAACCTCCTTTATTTACCAATATTCCATCGTTTTTTGTCCAATTCTACAAATACCTGATTATTCCCATATTGTGCATTGAACACACCTTCCAATGCCAAAAATTGAACTCTCATAAGTCTGAGCTGGTGTCCATGTATAAATGGGTTAAAAATAAGAGGTGCTGATTCAAAGTCACCATGGCATGCTGCATTACTGAAAATAAATTTAGGTTTACAATTTAGAACTTGTGTCACTTATGACTTATGGAATAGATGTCTAGGAAGATAAAATAAGCAGAATTTATTCAGGTTATAAAAATCATAAATACCACCAGATTTAATCAAGCTCTTTAATTCAGACAAAAGTTTGTGGGGGATAAAAGCTGCATTATCCAAATAATTGCTTGTTCACTTTGTGAGGTAAACTCCCCCATAAATTAAAAAATCCATTTCCTATAGAGCTGAAAAAAAATTGTACAAAGATAAAGGTTTACCAGTACCTGTCAACTGTTAGCATTGTAGATTTCCTAACACTTAAATTAGATTTGCGTCTTTTAAGTGCATTTAGTGCTTTTAGAATGGCCAAAGTTGGTTCCACACATTCAAGCCAGACAGATTCTGGCAAGCCATCCACCAAAGGCTGGATAGAATACTGATTAGAAAAAAGGCTGGTGTAGCTTTCTCTCTTCTCTTCATCCAGGTGCTGGAAGCTCTCCTGAAAAAAAAACCAACTAATTTACGTTTAAGTAAGCCATGTATTTTTTTTATTAAATGTAACAATAGAAGCTTATACTTTGTTAAAGACACCAACAGAGCAACCATGGGTTGACATGAAATTGGATACTAAATTCTACCTCTTTCTCCTGCTTGTACAGGGGAGGTGTCATGGGGCAATAGGTAGAATTACTACTGGCGTTGGGAAAGATGAATTGGGGAAAACAAAAATAACTTGATGTGTTGTCCATGCACACGCCAACAAGACTGGTTTAGAGGAGCTAGACAGGTGAGCATCGTAAGTTAAAGGACTGCACTCTTTATAGCATGATAAAATTGCAGAAAATGAAGGTCTTTCAGGTCAGAGTAATCGAGATGTGAACTTGGGTATTAAAGGTGTCACAAACAACTACATCTTCGGTCAACTGCAGAGATTTTCAGTGGTAAGGGGAACTACCACTTTTTTAACATTTAGCAAATCGAAGAAGGCAGATGCTACAGAAAAATACATCAAATTAAGAAAATTATAAGTACATTTCGAAGCAAAATATCTCATTAAAATTAAAGGAGTGATACAGTTTTATTCACTTTAACTTTAACTTCATTTAAATTCTTGATGAGTTGATAAAGCTTTTGGATAGGCCCCCTATATATCAGGTGGAAAGCATTAATAAAGTGAATCATTTTTGGCTCACTGAGTAAAAAGGTGGGACAGCACTGATTTTCATGATTTGTTTGATAGATTTTCAATCAATTTGTCTTAAATCTAATATATAATATATATTATATTGATTTAATTCAGAGCTTTGCAACCTATGCATGGCACATAAGTGATAATGCCATGTGTGCCTTGCAAAATGCCTCTAAGAGGAGGAAAGCACAAACTAAATGTAGGTATGGCACGGGAACATAAATAAACTGTGTTACTACAAATGGACATTGATGACAAGCTGTCAAACTCTGCAAATAACAGATTTGTGTCCAGTGAGGACAGTTAATATGGAGCAATGCACTGTAATTCGTAATATATTGACTTCAGTTTTTAGTTTATTTTTGCACCTTTTTATTTGCGGTGTGCAGCAAGCATACTTTGAATGGGTTTTAAAAGTTTTTTTGAGTAGTACGGCCATACATGATTTTGTACAGATTTTCAATGGATTTAGAAGAGAAATAGTTTTGCTCATGATAGAGATGACACGTGTTTCATAATCATAACTAGTAATAGTAGCAATGCAATAAATTCAATGTTGGTCAGGAGGAAGCTGAAATCCTATTATTTGCCACAAAGTAAACATCTATATTTAGAAACTGAACACAAAAAAAGGTTTTATTGATGTTAATAAAAAAAATAAAAAAATCACAATAATGAAGTAGCTATTTCTAAATTTAAGGTGACAAAGAACTAAATTTATAAATAAATATATTCCACTTCATGGCTGCCACTTCTTTGGAACCAAACTTTGATGAGAACAAATGCAAATTTATTTAAATCAATAGTTAAGAGGGATGAAACTCTGCTTTTTATTTTTGTTCCCACCTATCAACAACAATACACCACACTACCTGGGGGCAAATTTACCCCTTTTTTACTATTAATAATAATAATAATAAAGTTCATTTCAAAAACACGCTTCATCCCCAAAGGCTCACTCGAAGCGCGGTACAAAGTCAACAAACACGCACCATCAAACATAACAAAGCTGTAGTACCGGTACATAAAAAAAAAACATAGATATTTACAGCCACTTGAGAGATACAAGGAAAACCTCTCACTCAGAGAAGATCAAGTGGTTGAAACAATTCAGCACAAAACAGACAGGAGACACTTTTAAAAACCTACACATGAAAAAATAGAACCGAGGGAAAGGGAAATAACTTTCCGCCCCTTTTACGACATGACACAAACATAAGGAATAATGGAACGTCACAAAATTCAAAGACCAAGGTGTTCCCTCTGCGGATTCATCTTAATGGAAAAAGAACAACAGTTATTTATGGAATGCTAACAGATAAATCCACCCTAACACTAATCATAAAAGCAGGTACAACCCACCCGATAAACACAGATAAATTTATTACTTTACACTAAACACTATCCCTAAATCAACTGTCAAAACCCAACACTTGCCAACACGTAATCAGTCTGCCATTGTTGGCTCAATACAGACAACATATTTGGCAGTGTAGGCAAAATGCTAAATTTAACAAACATGTGTACACAGAAAAACTACTAGATACATTAATTAGAGCAAAAATACAAACCCCAATAGTCAATAGTATCAATTCTAAAAACAACTATCCTACTGCAATAAACCCAAAAGTTAAAAGCAAATTAATCATACAATGTGATAAACCAACCGCCCACACACTGGTTGAAAATATAAATATATGTAGATATACATGTAAATAAAATGGCATCAAGGACTCTGGACAGTGTTTACGCTAAAAATGTCATTTTTTTCCCTACAAAGAAGAAATCACAAAATCAAGGACACATAAAGGTCTCATGGGAGGAAAGCCATCATCATGTTAAATTTGTATAAGTATATCTTTCTTGTCATTTCTAACCATGCCACTTATCGTTTCAATTATTTTCAAATTTCACTCCATGAATGGGGCATTAGACTTTCCACCTTGTTTAAGAACATTTTATGTCCGTTCGTCTTAACACTTTCCCTTTCTGTATCACCATAATTTTTAAAAACAAAATCCTTTTCTTTCCATTTCAAATCAAATCTTTTAAAAAAAGTTTATATATGAATATTCATAATATATATATATACACACACATGAAAAATTAAATGTGAAAATTTAAGTTAAACGCTACATCCAAGGAAATGGACGGAGGTGGGAGTTGATGATCAAAGTTTGAGGTTTCCGCAGCCACCCCCTTTTGTTTTTAAAGAAATTTGTATAAACTTTTTTAGACAATAAAAAGTCATTGCTGTCACAGACAGATATTACATTGAAAGAATTAATTATTTCTATTTTAGAGAAAGTCACATTAAATTTAAGTGAGCAGAAACTTTCTGGTGATAAAATTCCCAAATAAGCTGAACTTACTGAAAAAAATAGTTATTGTGTTAAATTTCTATGTTTGTTCTCAGAATATTGTTTTCAAAATCAATAAAAACTTGTTTTTAACTATTTATAAATAGCATGTATATTTCTCACCCGATATTTTTTCTCATCTAAGTAGGAGAGGCTCAGAGTCAATAGTTCAGAGTTCAAAAAACCATAACATACTGACAGAACAGGAATCTTTGTCACAGGGTTACTGAAATAAGATTTTGGTCTTTTTACTTAAATTTAGGAATTTCAAGACAAATTTCAATAAAAAGAAATGTAAAATAACTGACAAAAGAGTTTGGTTTAAAAAATACAAATAAAAAAACTGAATGTGTATTTCAGTATGAAATATTTTTCATTTGCCATAAAAAATTTAATATTCTATCCTAGCTAGTAGTAAATGAGCAAAAACTTCCATATCAAGTCTTGCAAATCAAAGAGTCAAAAAGATTATTTATTGATATTTATTAATTATTAGTTATTAATATTGTTAGTTATATTTAGTATACCATTACTATTACTGTTACATTTACCTGTACTTGAGCAGGCCTTCATCATCTAGAGCTTTGGTAAATATATCAGGATAGAATGCTGATAATTCGTCCTCATCCTCACAGCTTTTATTGCAGCTCCTGTCTAGTATAGCTGGTAATGATAGGTCAGAGGTCAGGTCCCAAAGATAACAACTTTGGGGCTGTATATGTCTTTTCAATGGTTCCCTGAGAGGTACAATTCAGAAGCTGTAACTAATCTCTGGCTAGAAACAATTGTTCAGCCACTTAAAATAGACTGCTTTAAACAATAATATAAAAATATAAATATATGCATTAAAAGCACAAGAGTTCCTATTATTGCATACTGTAGTAACTAAAACTGATATCCAGTTATAAGAATATATTTGTTCCATTAATATTAATAACAATTGTGGAGTTATGAAACTGCCAATTACTGATTATCTGAACAAGAAAGCACGACCAACTCTTATGAAAAAAAAATCTAATTTAAAAGATTAATGGAGCAGACCTCCTCTTGTCATGTAAGTTTGACTAATTTTAAAAGGGAAAAATATAAATAAATCAAGTAAAAAGTAACCAACCACCAGGTAATTTGACTACACTGTTGAAAAGACAGAAACAGTATCAAAAACTCGTTTTTACTTTTTACACTTTCATTTACAGTTGTAATCTTTAGACGGAGATTCCACAAATGACTGGCAGTGACAGTAAATAAAGGATAACAGCAATTCTGATGTAAATAAAAGCATATTTCTCCACATTATATTCTTTTTCTGATTCTATTTAGTTGGAATGACTATCCATCCATCCCTGTGGCGCTACAGCCCATGTAGGGCTTTGGCCTGCCTCACCACTTCCTGCCACTCAGACCTAACTAATGCCTTTTCCATGCTTGGACTTTCAGCTTTTGTAGATCTTTTTCCACATCATCCACCCACCTAAGCCTAGGTCTGCCTTTGAGCCTTTTTCCTCTGGGGTATTGGTGATGCATCCTCTTCATTCCTCTGTCATTTGGCATTCTCTCTAGGTGTCCTGCCAAGCGTTGCCTGCCTCTTTTTATTTCTGCTACTATCGTGGGATCCTGATATAGACTGTACAATTCATGGTTGGTTCGCATTCTCCATCCATATTTATCCTTTGTTGTTCCATATATTTTCCTAAGAACTTACCTCTCCCATGTGTTTAATAGGTTTTCTTCCCTTTTTTGTTAGGGTCCAAGTGTCACTTGCATATGTTACAACTAGGGGTTGCAATCCGGGATCCCGAAATTCGAAAATACCTGAATACCGGACCATATTTGATGTTCGAAAAAACCGGGATTAGATTTATGAAAACCGGGATTTTATTTTTATTTTTTTTAAATCGAATTTCTTAGTTTCCACGTCATAGTTAGATCTATAGCAATACATATCGACAATTTACGAGATTTGCAAATCCATCACACCACGTGTCTCAAGTTCAAAGAAAGCTAGATCTGTGTACTCTTATTTGTCAAGAATCATGACTTTGTGATTAGTTTTTTTTTCTTCTTTTTTTACATCATGCGTGTGTAAGTGAAGACGAGTCACGGCGTGAAGGTACAGGATTGGTAATTAAATGTTTTTCATATTATTGACAAATAACTGATTGGTATAGTCGAATGAAGATCGAGTTTTGACTTCCACTAAGAGTTTGTTTGGAAATAATAACATGTTGCACTCAAATCACGGGGTCAAATTTTAATTACATTTGTTTTGAGTGCTTGATTTCTTTCAATTATGCCAAAAGACCTACATATTTAAAAATATGAGTAAATCCGTATTTTGATAATCAAATACTGGGGTACCTTAAGTTTAAGACACAGAAAATTATGTTACTTCTACTTTGTGATAACAATATTAATTATTTAAATTCAACTCATAATTAATTTTCGAGCTATTTTGTCTCAAGTTGAATTTCCCAGTTTGTCTATACCGTACCTAGCCAAAATTTACATGACGGAATGTCCCACTTAGCCAAAAGTTACATGACAATTTAAACATTTAAAAAAAAAACTTTACACGTCAAACCAATTCGATTGAATTAATAATTTTTTGTTAATGATTTATTTTCCCATGTTGATAGAAAGAAATGGGGGACCCTGAAAAAATAAACCTAAATTTGAAAAGCATATGAAACTGTCTGAAACAAAGAAATCAGTTTGGCATCATTTCTTGAAAGCTACGGACAATCTCTCAGCTACATGTATTAGATGTAACAAGATACTTAAAACATTGGGAGGTACAACTTCAGGCCTACACTCCCATTTAAAGTCTGCACATTCCAGTGACTACTTGGATGTATTTCTAAGGCCAGATTGCGACCAGATACGAAAGTATATCGCGTATATTCAAAAGCTTGGTCGGACAGGGGATTCATCGTTGGAAATATCTACGAACAATGAAATTGAACATCTTGGATCTGAGCATGACGAACTTGAAGACACACTGCCGCTTAAGAGACAATTAGAGATTGAAAAACAAAAGAAATTTCAGGCTCAGGATAATACTTCCAGACTAACGTTTGGAGACATTGATACATGGTAAAAATAGAAATGGCTTTATTTGAGAATGGCGGTTCAAGATGAAAATATGTAGAAATTGCTTATGATAGCCTAAGGTCTATTCCTCCGACCAATGTGGAGTCAGAGCGGGTGTTCTCTTCATCAGGTTACTTTTTTAACCATTAGCGGTCAAAGTTAAGTGACCAAACATTATAATTTGTCATTGTTACGATTTCATTATTTAAATTTGACCAAATGTTAAAACAACACCAATTATTTTAATATTTGATTAATAAAACTATTGAAATTAAAAAAGTTAAGAGTTTTATTTTTGTTCTTTTGATTAAAGTCTGAAGATAAACGCGTGTTTAAAAGCTTATTAAAAATGAAAATGTGATATTTAAATTTTTTATTTCATTGATAAATCCTCACCTGTAATCTCGAATCACGACTAAAAATTATCTAAATATTGAAAATACCGGGATTCCGGTATTTGTAAACTTCAATATCGAAAATACCGGTTTTGGTTTTGCGACCCCTAGTTACAACTCGTCTGATTATAGTTTTATAAATAGTTTTCATTGTTTCTTTTGTAGTGTTTTTACATTTGAGTATTTTCTGACTACTGAAGTATGCCCTGTTTCCGGATGAAATTCTTTCCTTAATTTCTGTTAGTAATTCGTTTCTTTCATTTAACAAAGATCCTAGGTATTTGAATTGATTTACTTTTTCAAACGTCTGGTTTCTAATTTTCATTGCTTCATCTGTTTGTTCTTCTCTTATCATGGTCATGTATTTTGTTTTTTGGTTGATAACTTCCAGCCCGGCTTGTAGTGATGCGTCTTCTAATTCAATAAAGGATTTTGATATGTCTTTAATACTTTTCCCTAGCAGTGCTATGTCACCAGCATATGCAAGACACTGAAGTGGTTGGTTGTAGAGTGTGCCCATTGGTTGTGGGTCTTGAGTTTCCCCCAGAAAGCATCCTGTTATCGTTCCTCGAGGGTCAATGTATATGTTTCTCATAACTCTCGCTAATGTTAGGTTTAAAAGCATACAAGACGGTGAGTCTCAATGTCTTAGCCCTCGTCAAATCTGAAATTCCCTTGAATATTCTCCTTGAATCTTGATTTTGCTTTTTGAGTTATTTAGTGTTACATGTATTAGTCTTGTCAGTTTGTTGGGTATCCCAAACTCCTGCAGAGTCTCATATAAATAGTTTCTTTTGATGCTTTTCATAGGCCATTTTATAGTCCACATAGAGTTGATGTACAGGTATATTAAATTCATAGCATTTCTCTAATAGGAATCTGATGGTGAAAATCTTATCAGTCGTTGATCTGTTAGGCCTGAATCCACATTGGTAATCATCTAGTATTTCTCCAGTGTAAGGTTGTAGTCTTTTGGCAATAAGCTTCGTCAGTATTTTGTATGTACCATTTAATAGGGAGATTCCTCTGTAGTTTGTGCACTGAAGTTTGGAGCCTTTCTTGTGTATTGGGGTTATTAATGCTGTTTCCCATTCTGGTGGGATTTTCTCTTCTTGCCAAATTTTATTTATTAGTTTATGTATCTGATTGTGTAGTTCTTTTCCTCCATATTTAATCCGTTCTGCTGTGATAAGGTCTTGTCCGGGGGCTTTGTGATTTGTCATGTAATTAATTACCTCTTTGGTTTCTTCTAGGGTTGGGTATTGTATAAAAGGGTCTGGTCCTCCCTGTGGGATTTGATAATCTTCTTCTTGTCTACTGTCTGCATTCAGTATGTCCTCAAAATATTCAGCCCACCTCTCCAGTACTTGACTATTTTCCGTGATTAATTCTCCATTGTGGCTCTCACACATTTGCGGTCTGACTTGGTATACATTCTTTTCATCTTTTATCTTCATGTACATTCCTCTTATATTTCCCTCTCTTGATAAATCTTCTATTTCATTTAGTTTATCTTTTTCCCATTCCTTCTTTTTCTTCCTACACATTTTTGTTGCATACCTTCTGGGTTCCTTGTATGTTTGTGTTGTCTTTCTGGTTTCCCTTTGTAATATGATCATTTCGTGCTATGTTTCTTTCTTCCACAGTCTCTCTGCATTCATTGTCAAACCAGCCTACTCTATTGTTGGTTTGCTGGAATCCCACTACTTTTTCTGCTGATCTTTTAATGGCATTTTTTATCCTACCCCACTGATCATTTATGTTGTTTTCCCTGCTTATTTCCTCCTGCGATGCTTCTAAATGTGCTTCTACTTCATTCTGGTAAGCTTTTGCAGTTAGTGGGTCTTTGGTGAGCTTTTGTTAATCGTATCGTTTCTCTCTTTGATTACGACCATTGTGAATTAAGCTTATTCTCTGTTTATATGTCACCCTTACAAGTAGATGGTCCGAGTCCGCATCTGCTCCTCTAAGGCTTCTCACATCTAATATATCTGATCCGTGTCGCCAATCTATTAAAACATGATCGATCGGGTGATTCCATCTGGTGAGTTCCACGGAGCTTTATGTCTATTTTTGTGCGGAAACTTGGTGCTGCTGACTGACATCCCTTTTCCTACCGCGAAGTCTATGAGTCGGATCCCATTGTCATTGGATTCTTCGTGCAGACTTTCCTTGCCAATAGTTGGCATGAACACCTTTTCTTTTCCTATTTTGGCATTGAAGTCTCCAATCACTATTTTAATATCATGTCGTGGTGCCTCTTCGTAGATCTTTCCCAGTGTCTCATAAAAGGATTCTTGCATTTTTCCTCGCACACGCAAAGAACACAATCTTTCGTTTTCTGGTTTGAAGCCTATGACTGCACTGACCACTTCTTTTTTTCAAGGCAAATCCTGTTCCTAGTGTGTTGGTGTTGTTACCACTATAAAATATGGTGTATTCTTTTATTTTGAGGATGTCTGAAGTTTTCCATCGAATTTCTTGCAATGCAGCAATAGATTTTTATATTTGACCAGCTGATTTTCAAGGTTGGCTAAGGCTCCTCCTCTAAACAGGCTTAATATGTTCCTAGTCGCAATCCACAAATCATGTCCATATCCATGCATAGTTCCATTTCCATTGGTATCAGTCTGGGTTTTGTTCTGTTGATTGGCTTTCGTAACGTTGATTTTTTTACGTGGCCGGGTTGTTAACCCTGCGCACAACCGTCGGGGGGGAGGGGGGTGCCCCTTACAGCTGTCTGGATAGCTGCCTTAGTTTCTGGGTAAGTTTCCCTAGCCTTTGTGGATCCCTCCACTTCCTACAAGGCAGAAGGTTCTGATTTTGGTCCTCCCCAGGTATTTTATTTCCCTGGTACCCTCCATATCTGGTGGGCTTTCCCCTATTCGCCACCTGGGGAGGCGCTCGATGGGGGATCAGTAACTCCACACGAGAGTTGGAGTGACTGCAGAAACATTTTGAAAACAAAATATGCAAATTTAATGACATTTTTCTTTAATTTTTAAAATGTGTCCCATCACTTTAAAAATTTAATTACATTCTTCTACCTCTAATTTTTATTTTTCACTATGCATAAAACTTCATATGATTGGAATTCTTCTGGGAAGTGGCGTAACTACATAAAAGTAAAAGCTTACCACCACTTTTGTAACTTGGGAATCAACTTGCGTTTTCCTCTGTCAACTTGCTCCATTTCTTGAGGGATCATGGTGGTTGGTGTTACTTACTTTTTGGATTCTAGAAATAGGACTCTGGGTCACTCACTTGATCAGGCTAGTTACAACATTTGCTGCAAAAAAAAAAAAAAAAAAAAAAATTCATTTTGTAAAAAAAAAAAAAAAAAATTTTTGGATTCTAGAAATAGGACTCTGGGTCACTCACTTGATCAGGCTAGTTACAACATTTGCTGCAAAAAAAAAAAAAAAAAAAAAAAAATTCATTTTGTAAATACACACTAAATAATGTAGTTTCAAGTCCCTACTGAATATGTGGATACATTTCTGCCGGGCCTTCCACTGAAAAGCTTTAGGAGCACTGTCTGTTGGAGAGAACTATAACTATTATTAATTATATTACTTTGTAAATAACATAAAAATAAATTTGTATAATTACGCACTTTCTACCTCGTAGATGGCATAAACTAGTTTATCAACAGATGATTTAAAGTTTGACACGAAATTAAATTGATATTGTTTCAAGTTCAAGCTTGCAAAAGAATTCGTTAAGTTTATGTTCATTTATTGATTTAAAAAATAGTACCCGACTTCATGATCATCAAATGTTGTATAAAATCCTCGATCTAGTGTGCGACGCCATGATGAAATAGTGACGTGCTAAGCATAGTGCATTTCAGTGCAAACGTCTATGCATTTTTAGCTTTATGTAGCAACAACGCAACTCTCGTTTTTTCGAGTTGGCCGATTTTTATGATACATGTAGAGGGTGGTGCATGACGTCATGACATCTTTAGTCTGCATCATCTTTGTCTCATTTCCTCGCAAACACACATAACCAAAGTGTTTGGGGTCCTCCCATTCCTCTCTATTCATAGAAGTAGTGCTTGCTTAGTTTTCTTATAGCATGGCCCATTCAGATCCACCTGCTTTTCTGAAAGTCTTGCTCCAATGGCATTTATGATATCATCTCCATCACTGTTGTATTTAGGATTTTGCGGTATCGCGTACTTAATATGCATATTTTAACGAGGGATGTATGGTTTAAAAAAAAGTCTAACTAAAATGTTTTTTTAAACGCATTAACCAACCGGAGCCAAAATAATAAAAATGTCGTCGAATACAACACATTTGTGGACATTTGTGTCTTAAAAGTGGAAAGACATCAATCTTTTGTCTATTTTATCCACAATGCAAATCTATTTAAAGAAAATAATGTAGCTTGACACCCTTTGTTGGTTGTTGGAGCAGAATGTTAGCCTATTAGGGGGCCATCCATATAGTACTCACTCTCTGGCAAAGGTAAACTCACAGAAAGACTTACTGGCTATTCTTTCCTCTGGAGCGGACGTGACCCTGACGTAAGGCGAGAAGCTGGAGTTGGCTTTGCTATCAAAAACTCTCTTGCGAGCAAGCTCTCCGGCTCTCCAAAAGGTATCAATGACCGTCTCATGACAATAAAACTATCCCTCTGCCATGGAAAGAAGGCTGCGACCTTAGTCAGTGCCTATGCCCCCACCACGACAAACACAGAAGAGACCATAGATAAGTTTTATGAAGACCTGATCACTGTCATCTCCTCCACACCAACTGCTGACAAACTCATCATTCTTGGAGACTTCAATGCACGGTCGGCAGTGACTACACCTCCTAGGGGAGTGATGGGGAAGTATGGTGTTGGAAAGTGCAACAGCAATGGCCTACTGATACTACATCCCTGTGCTAAACACGGCCTTCTAATAAAAAACATCACATTCAGCCTCCCTACGCTTAACTGGACCTCCTGGATGCACCACCGTTCAAAACACTGGCACTTATTAGATTATGTCATCGTCAGAAACAGAGACCGACAGGACGTGAGGGTGACTAAGGCCATGTGTGGCGCAGAATGCTGGATGGATCACCGCCTCATCGTCTCAAAGATGAAAATTCACATCCAACCTAAGAGATGACCTCAGGCCACCAAAGCTCCGAAACGCCTCAACATCAGTGGGCTGAAGATCCCTGATGTGAGATAAACCATTGTTGACAACCTGGATGAACGCCTTGATAACATCACACTGGACCACCAGGACATGGAAACAGCGTGGACCACACTTCGTGAGACGGTGCATAACACAGCCGCTGTGACCCTCAGACCCTCTACCAGGAAACACAGGGATTGGTTTGATGGAAAAAAAAAACACAGCGATCCAAATGCTACTTGGGCAAAAAGGTCGGGCGTACAAAGCCCTCCATGATGACCCAATGTCAACAGCAAAGACAACTGCACTGAGGAGCATCCGTAGCAAGATTCAGTTGCAACTGCGCCAGATGCAAGACTCCTGGCTGAGTGCGACAGCTGATTAGATTCAGGGCTTTGCAGACAAAAAAGACATGAAAAACTTCTACAGTGGCCTGAGAGAAATATATGGCGTTACCACCTCAGGCTCTTCCCCGCTCCTTAGTGCAGACGGTTCTACACTCATTACAGACAAGGAGAAAATCTTAGAAAGATGGGCGGAACACTTTAATAATGTGCTGAATACGCCCTCCGTCATTAATGATGAGGCCATTGAGAGACTGCACCAGGTCCCAACGAACAAGTCTCTGGACGCTGTCCCAACTTTGGTCGAGATACAGACAGACATCCGTCAATTGTTCAGTGGCAAAGCATCTCGCTCCGACATGATTCCTTCCGAAATATACAAAGAGGGTTGATCAGCGCTGACGGATAAGCTGTTGCGACTATTCCAGATCATCTGGCGGACGGAAACTGTGCCACAGGGCCTCAAAGATGCCTCAATTATCCATCTGTACAAACACAAAGGAAACTGCTAGGCACATGACAGTAGCATGCTTTGACCACAGAACTGATATGACTGATATGGCCAATACGGAGAATCATACTAAGTTTGCGTTCACGTGCTGTCACGACACCGATTAACGAATGAGTCACAGTAACATCACTACTAACTTAATCACTTCATTTAAACATTTTTTGTTTGCACAATTAAGTTATGGCGCTAAATTATGGCGTAAACAAGCAAGTCGTTAACTTATTCTACAGTGCAACAATTGGAAGCCTGCTAATTTCAGTATTACCAGCTGGTGTGGGAATTCAACGTCTGATATTAAACACCGCATAAACAGACTAACCAAGAAAGCTAGAAACAACACAAACTAAACATCCTTCACTTGAAGAACTATTTGAAGAAAGATGTTTTTGCAAAACTAAACACATTTTGGATGATACATCCCACCCTCTTCATCACAGATACTTAGGATCAGGCCGTTCGGGACGAATTCTTTCCATCAGGGCGAGGACTGACCCATATAAAAATTCTTTTGTTCCCCAATCTGTACGAATTTACCGGCGTGCTTCCTCTGAAGCCACACATCTGAATGAGAACTAATAAGTCCCCGATTTTGCTAAGAGAACTCGCTGAATGGCTGTTTGAAATAATTTATTATAAATGCCTTGTGTTCAAATTTTTTTTTATTTTTGTGCTGAAAATGTATAATGCAATCAAAAGACATTTCCATTTATTTGGATAAATGAAAGAATCTTATCTTATCTTAATATATAATCAAATAGAATTTGTGAAATATTACACAATTTACGATTGTAAGCTATTATTTATTAGTACTAAATTCCATTGACAGAATCTGCAGACAACAAATATGAATAGCCAATATTTTAAATTCCGATATTTTAAAGTCCAATATTTTAACGTCCAATATTAAGGTCTCCAGCGACCGTAATTTAGCACTTTTTATTAATAATTGTTATCTCCCCGTTAAAGGGGACTAAATCACATTCTTTCCGCGGTCAATACTAACAGTGACGTAAGTCGGAGCCGTCGCGTAATTTTTGAAGGCACCTATTACGTTTTGATATTGAGCCCCTGCTTAATTAAGGTTGAAAGTTTAATTATCTTCAACATCACAATTCGGAACCCTTTAAAATTCAAAGGCTTAAATCCATTGTGTCCAGCAGAAGTCAGCCAGCAGTAGTCAGCCAGCATTGTAGTGGATCACTTTACCTGGCATCTTTGTTCCATTGTTGCGATATCTTGATGAAAACATTCCCCATGTTCAGCACTAACCATACCATGTTCAGCACTAACCATACCATGTTCAGCACTAACCATACCATGTTCAGCACTAACCATACCATGTTCAGCACTAACCATACCATGTTCAGCACTAACCATACCACGTTCAGCACTAACCATACCACGTTCAGCACTAACCATACCATGTTCAGCACTAACCATACCATGTTCAGCACTAACCATACCACAATTGTCGGGGAAGACAATCGGAATGATGGAAGCGGATCTTTAGAGACATATTGCAGCCAAGTTTCTGATACTACATCAGCATATTATCTTCTACTAGTTCCTTGGCGTTTTCTGCCCCTAACATTCCCGAGAACGTTTGTACACGCAAGCGAAAAGCATTCCACGCTTGTTTCGCATCACATTGCAGCAAGTTGTTGAACCGGTCATCTTTGGAGTCCACCTCGTAGCACGTACACACCGTCTTACATTCAGAACCAGGGTGAGCTGTGACGGACAACATTAAGGTATATAAATTATTATATACTGTCGCCCATGTATGGTGTCTATGTATTATACACCCATGCTGGACGGTTACTGCAATGGTATAAAGTATGACCACCGTTATTTTGACACGTGTAGTATCGCGGAATCGCTGTGTCTTTGTAAGACAAAGGCGAATAGCACACTGTCTATTATATTACTACAGACTACAGATGGTAATAATATTATCACAACACACGCATCATTTCCTATGTGACAATGTATCGTCCAGACATTGCTGTAAACGTTACGTCATTCTTGAACACTCACTGTGAGCGTATCAGCATTGCTTCAGTTTTTAACTTCGACCAGCTCAACAGTGAGATCGTTGTGAACCGCTGTGGCAGACCTCGACATCCGTGACACATGCAACGGGAAAGTGAATATCCAGTTATGTGGAACAGCTTAATAATATAATAATCCCATGCGTCACCAACAGCGACTTTCGGCGCTTTTGAAGGTCACCGGCTCATGTGATCAAAGTATCGATCGTGCATGTCACGAGAAAGACCTGAAAGAGAGAATGGACAGCAAGCTCCACAGCCCCCCCCCCCCCGAGTCATTGCGTTACGAAACCCCTTGACCAGGGAGTCATTCGGTCGTGGTGAGGGCGCAAGATCATTAGCTTCGGTCGAATGTTGCAGTTGCGTCTACTGATCTCGCACTTCACGCCATCCTTTGCGAAAGGTTGACAGATTCACCGTCGGTTCTTGGTTAATGTTAACCTAATTCTAAAGATTTATTCTGTTGCTTCTGTCGGTTTTCAGATTTACATCTGAGAATGCGTTGACATCGGCTTCGACAATGCACTCTCAACAGATAGAATTTGTAGAAGAAAGCAGATGAATTATTGAAGACGCTAATCAAGAATGAAAATATTGTTTCGATGTATATTACATATTTTAACTCACTTTTTCCGTTGGAGACATTTCAGAAACAGTATTGTGTGTTCTGACTTGGTGCTCTGTGATTGGTATGGTAATAAGTTAATAAGGGAGTTGG